TGCAAAACTTGAATTTTTTTGCATGAATTCTAACCAGAAACAATTAACTGCGTATAGTGCAACTGGTCACCGAAAAGGTATGATTTTTAACACCTTCCAAAAAACTAACTATGTATAGTTCCACCCTATTTTTTGCATAAAAAATTGAGCATAAAAATTTGCACTATACACACACATATATACTGAACGTTCTAAACCTCACAGTTTTAGAATTTTGTCATAAATATGTTTAAGTCCGACAGCTCTATTGTTCGGCTTTGTTTTTACTTTTCAGGATTTTTCTTTTCCATCAATAGGTGACTGATTTTCTGCTTGCTTCATTTTTCCGCGCCTCTGGCAAAAATCTTTGACTTTCTCATGACTGTGAAATCTCTTCGGAGACCTTTCCTAGAATTACTTGCTGTTTATTTTTCTTTTTGTTGTTGTTATTTTTTCATCGATGTTGTTTTTCCTTTTATCATGTATTTAAGAATCCTAACTTCCATCGGGTAATTGTGAAGATTATGGGCAGTTGGAGACGTAAATCTTTTAAATAAAATCACGTCTCTGAAGCATTCCACTTTGAAATCTGAGAGGGAGATCGTCAAAAAGTACATATACAACAACATAAATCATTTTTTAAAAGATTCAACAATTATTCTGCCTTTCTAATGTTATTTACTATATTCACATAATTTGCTCCGGAGGTGTTTAATTTTCAGCCATGTCCACTTTTTCTGTTGTTTCTTTAGTTACTTGTCAGTAAGATTTATTTTCGTTACTTGGAACAGACTGATTTTATCTGTATTTAAATTTATTTAGGTGTGTGTATATATATATATATATATATATATATATATATATATATCCTGACCTTCACAGAATCATTTGAGTTAAGTCCCCTTGTACAGCAGTTATTCATTTCCGTTGCATTTATAACATATTATGTCTTATTTCTATTTTACATTCTTTTTTAATACTTTCGTTTCTCTATGCATACATTCTTTGTTCCAGTCTCATTTCCTATCCTGATTTGTCATTTTGTTTTTCTTTGTATCATTATTTTATTTCCCAGCATATTCTTCCGTGAATAAGTTCCCACACCAGAATATATTAAGTATATGAATCGACGTACGATCTCCGTTTCATATATATATATATATATATATATATATATATATATATATATATATATATATTAATTTTCTCGGCTCCCTTAGCTCGAGTCAATGATTCAGTAATTGAAGTGTATATTTTCTCTTTGGTCGTTTTTGATTTCAACCTTTTTAGTTTGAGCTTTATTTTCTTCAATTAAGATTTAGTTTTCTGAATTTACATGCTGAGCTTGATACTTGTTTCTCATCGACATTTTGGTAACAGCTTTCTGCTTCTTCCAATTCAGTTTAACAATTATTCACTTTATGAAAGATTTTCCTCACGATCGGCTTCTTTCTGTTTACTAAAGTCGCAGCTGCTGTTCCCGAGGCACGTATCTGCGCTGACACCTGCACGCTTATCCCGTATATTATTATTTATCATTATCATGGTCAGTAAAACTAAAACTAGCGAGCCAAGTTCAAAATTCGGCCTAGGCCCTTCTGTTCAATTCGAAAAGACATGAAAGTATCTCTTCTTTCACCGTCTATGGTTTAAATGACAAGTAGAATAAACTCTCTAGACTTATGTGTGTTACAGAATGCATCGACCGGCCCAGAGTGGCAAACTATTGGTCAGGAGACTCTGTCGGTGTGGAATTCTTATATTGATGGCTTGCCTTTAAATTGTTTTATATAAGATCAAAAAAAAATGCGATGACGGCAAGAATTTCAAGATCAACACACATCCCCCCTCTTCACTCAGATTTCTTAGTGAAACTAGCCACCACATAGCGAGTTAATTCTAGCGACTCAGTCGGCATGCATCCTCTTGATCAACTACTCTTCCATCTAGCTTCCTTCTAAAAATAATGCTACTGTCTACTCATATAATAAAGCTATTCCTCATATAATAAAGCCAGATTAAAAAAAAAACATCAAAGAAAATTTTCTATCATTGATGCAGTCTATGATATATCTTTGAGGTCTGAAGAACTGAAGCTTGAGACGAAACGAAAAACGCATGATATCTAGTCTAAAGGAAAGACTATCCTGAATTCAAAACTTTCTAGAAAGGAAGGAGAAACTAATCGATTATCTTTCCTAAGGAGATATGACAATCCCCAGATATTAAAGAAAAAGGAGTCGGAACAGATAGATGACTGCTTACGTTCTGAAGGAGCATTATATTTAAAGAAACCGGTAGGTCACACCAAACACAAAATAGTAGCACTTGATAGTGAAATAGTATTTTCTTCTTCAGCAGTCATATTAACCAGTAATAATTGAGATGTTCTTTAGACTCTTTCTAAAATCGGTCTTATAAAATTTATATAAAAAATGTACTTTATATCTTGAACTCCCTTTCTACTATTAGTGTTAATGCGTGACAACTTAATGACAACTTATCTCAACAACCACTCCATAATAATAATTACTTTTCACTGCCGACATCTCCAAAATCATCTTGAGTCATTATTCGATTCAATGGCAGAAAAAGAAAATCCGAAACTGGCAAAAATATGGCGAAGTTTCTCAGAATGTTGTGCAGAAATTTCTTCAAAATTGTCGCCATTTTCAAATGCCAGGAAGTTGTTTACTTGGCGCTGTCTAAATCACCTTTACCAGCGCTAGGCACAAATGTTGCCACCTTGTTAAAAAAAAATGTAGAACAAGAATTAGTTAACAAGGCGGGAAAAAATGAATTGCGCTATTTTCAATAGAATATATGTGTGGAAACTGTTAATATATGACGTAATATCACTGAAATATCTCACCAGATTATGTCACCGCGTCAGGTGGTTTCAAATGATTATATCTGAAAAAAGAAATGTATATTCAGGTCAACGTACAGAATTTAAACTTTACTTAAAGCTAAATATAACATTTTTCAAAATGTCAATAAATCATTGTACGATTTATTATTTTGTTCATGGTTTACTACAAAATACATAAGTTGTCATATTTGGACTAGCAGTTATGTAATGAGGCTTTGTAAATTGTTAGACAGCATGATATTTTTTTTATTTCTAACATTCTTTTTTACGGTAAGGTTCCCCCTGTACAAGGCCCTGGGACTACTCGAGATAGAAGGTTACGATAAAGGAGAGTTTATGCGGATAGGAGGGGAAGATAACGGTTAATTCTAGATTTGAACAGGTTAAGGGTGTAGCGATCGGGAAACATCCTAATGGGAGTTTGTTCCACAGGGCAGTTGTTCGCGGGAAGAGGCTGTTTGAGTGGAACATACTTCTCTCACCAATGGAATATGGAAGGAATGTTGATGGTTTGTTAGAGTCTAAGTGTCATGGCGGGTCCTAGCCGTGAAGGTTAGACCTGAGGTAACCAATAAATGTAGTTCGTTCGAGCATTTTCCATGGTAGTAGCGATAGAACAGAGAGAGATTCGTCACATCCCCAATATTCTCTCAAGACACGGAGCCTCCTCGAGGGAACATCCGTTCATCGTGAATGGCGGTAGTTCGCCACTGATCGGTGACTAAGATAACGCAATTAAAACGTGATTTAAAAGAAATTATTATTAGTGGTAATGTTAATATTAGTGACAGTAGTTCATTTGGTGGTATTATTATTAGTAGTATTGAGGAAGTGAGTGAGAGAAAAGCACGCCACCAAGGTAAGGCTGCGATAGAAATATACGAAGCCCAGCATACCCATCATGACACCCAGTTTGATGAGGGTATACCAGCTACATGCATCACAGCCAAATGTACGCATTATAGTCACTATAGTGACAGTTTTGAATAAAAACAGCGCATAGCATTGCAGATGGATCCCAGTTAGAAATGTTCCTGACTACTCCTGTTCATGAACAGTGATGCACAGTGAGTTCCCTCTTATGGAACATACTTAACTGCTAAAGGTCAGGCAACTGGCAAGCAAATCTGTAGTACTGAACGGGACATTTACTGTAGTCATCTTAATTCACCAAGATAAAAACATGTACATGTTAACACTTCCAATCAGTTCAGATCAAAGCCATGTTGATGGATAGCGTTAGATCTTCTTATTCTTATTCTTATTCTTATTCTTATTCTTATTCTTATTATTCTTATTCTTATTCTTATTCTTATTAATAATAATAATATAGAAAGAATGGGAGAGTGCATCACGCCAAAAATTGATGCTGTGGTACAAATATTCGAAACCGATTATACCCATCATAATACCCAGTCTGTTAAGTATATATCAGGCACATGCATCACAGCCAAATTTGTGCAATATGGTGACATGTTTTGACAAAAGCAGAGCATAAACTTGCAAGTGGGTCCTTGTTAGAGATATCAGCAGATCGGGTTATCCAGTCTCTGCTCAAAAAATCCCTGATTGAGGATGTTTCTAAATGTGACTCCCAAGTCGCCTTAGCTGCCTCATCCTTCAGACTTAAAAAAAAAATAAACTCGGAAACCATCCATGCTGTCCGAAATACGCCCGCTCTTGAACAGATATGCAGTGCGTCAGTCTGTAGGGAACATGCCGAACTATTTATGGCAAGGAAACTGACAAGTTATTTTATTATTATACTTATTACATATTCTTATTTATTGTTAATATTTTTGTTATTATTTATAAGTTGTTGTTGCTGTTATTATTATCTAATGCTTTCGACTCAGTACAATCCCTTCAATTATTATGTTAAGTGTTTATATTTTCTTTTGCCTTGATAAAACTATTGTACAGATGAGCATTTCCACACATTGCAATCTTTTGAATCTCTTGTAAACACCGGCTATGAGGAATCTCGTCTCTACCTTTTTAGATCGTACTCGGGACCCCGATTTTATAGGCATGACAGTTATTGTAAAGTGCCACATTTTTCCAGTTTTAATAAAAATTTACTTTTATCGTATTCTTTAATGGATATATTTTTATCCGATGGCCCTACCAAAGGCTTCTTTTCCTAAGCTTACGGTCATATCACGTTCAACACCGGTTCCTGTACGATTACCGAAGTTAAGCAACGTCGAGCCTGGTTAGTACAAAAATGGATGAGCGCTTGGGATGTGCGGCTGGTGTAATGAGATATAGGGTCATAAATGTTAACCAGATAACCGAGTTCCAATTCCCGTTGCGTTCCTTATATTCACTTATGAGTAAATACCCTTGGGAAAGGTATGAATCCACCTCCTCCCTATGGGTTAATTAGTAAGACTTGTGTCACTAAACCATTATTATTTCCAATAAAAAGAATCATTTCAATATAAAAATATTTTCTGGCTTTCAATAATATGCGAAGTGTTGATAAGCCGTAAAAAATGAATCAATCAATAAAAAAGCTTCTTTTTTATATTTTCAATCTCTTACTCATTAATTCGTTTTTATGGATATTTTTATTAGAATTTTAATTTTTGGTCATAATTTAATGATCAGGAGCAGATCATAGCAAATGACCATAGGTCCTGCTGTTTCTGATGTAATTAATATGCATACACCTGGGTTCCCCCTCACAGTAATATGATTGGCTGGTGTCAGCCATAAATACAGACTGATGTGAAGGTACATGGACTACGCCTATTGTCTTCGCCTATTTCCTACCACTACGACGAGGACCAGTCCATTACGATTACCTGCTAGATTGTCCTACCCGGTTACAGTAGTCAACAACCACATTGCTACTTCGAACAAATATATCCCTTTCCGGGACATATCAGTTTCTTTATCTCTCTACATCAAACTAAACCTCAGAATTCCGACCGTTCAAAGTACTGCTGTTTTCGGAAGTGTTTCATTTTTAATCACAGTCCCAATTTTATCCAGCTATTTAGCAGGTGAAGGTTCTGTAACAATTTCAAGGTGTCGCCACAACAACAGGAATATTTTCTATTTTCTTAAACCTCCACAAACTTTCTATCTCAAATTTTGAATCGTAATACATTGCTTTCTTCTCTTTTTCAACTACGTTCCCTAGAACCGCTTTATCGATGAACCAACACTGTTTTTTTTTTTTTTTCCTTCTTAACAATAACGATGTCTGGTCTTCTTACTCACATTTAAAACATTCTTTCTGTACAAAAGTTTGCAATGCTTTTTTTTATTTTTAAAATGATTCTCTACTTTCCATTAAATTTCTAGTTTTCAAAAAGGGGCGGGACATTTCAACATATTCTTATTAAAATTGTTATTATTTGATACATTTGTAGCGTAAGATTAGATCTCTGACTTTCTATTACTTTCGAAGAACGATCAATTTTAGTGGCGTTGATTTAAGAGATTTTGAAACAGACTGACACTTTGACACGCTGTTTCATTTGCATTTCAGCGCACAAAAGAAAAATTGAAAGAAATTATAGCGAGAGCCTTGTGAAACATTTCTAATTTTATCCTATAAAACCTCAGCCATGATGATAAAGTCGCAAGTTATTTGGAAATGCGTCAGTGCAGCTTGATGTTGCCAGAGTATTAAGAATACAAAACTAACTTGTGTACAATAGATTTTTTGATTGACGCCTGTAAAAATAGACTTGAAAGAGTGAGGACTGATCAGAAAAGAATAAGACATTGCTTTACAAAAATAGCAACCCTGAATTTGAATGGCTATATTCGAGGTTTCTGCGTCATTAGATGTGAACCAGTTTAGAAAAATTAGATTAGTCGAGAGAAATAAGTTGTGCATATTAATAATAAGCGAAAAAATAATAAATTAATGTTACCTATAATGTATAATATAACTCTAGAAACTACGCATGAAGTAATGAATATTTAACTGAAACTTATCTTTTGAATGGAAGTGTTATTTGCCACGACTCTATCCTTAATTATTTCTGTCACTAGTTTTCAGTCTGGCCCTAAAAAAGCGAATATATTGTATGCTTTAAAGCACCACCCTTCATGCTTGCCTGGCAATATTAGACACAATGTTAATACTTCATGTTTCTATCTACAGGATAAATTTTGTCAAATACTACAAGATACTCTTTTTCCTCAGCTGTCTTTTTCATTGATTTATTAATTTTCACCTGTGCTTTTCAATTATTGTGTTCTCGAAATGATAAAAATTGTACATACTAGTGCCCATTGTTTTGACATTATTTTCGCTGTATGACAAGCAAGTGAAGAAACATCAGGAGCTCAAATAATAACCTTTGTTATTGAGGATGTTTCCCAATCTGATATGTAACACAACATTGCCGATATGATTTTCTCCCATAACACAACTCCAATTAGCAGTTCTTGCTAATCTTTCAAAATTATTTTCAGAAAATAAATTTTAAATACTTAATAAATAATTCGTTTTTTCTTTTGTTTCTTTTGTTTGTTTTGTTTTTTGTTTTTTTGTTTTTGTTTTTGTTTTTTTTTTTTTTTTTTTTTTTTTTTTTTTTTGTTTGGTGTTCAATACTGACTAAATATAATATTTTTCAAAGTTACTTCCCCTTTTAATTTATTCCGAATTGTATAATATAGACTTTTGACGGGAGATTGAAATATTTCATAATTTTACAAGGTTTTTGTTTGCATCTTAAAGTGTGGACAAGCAATAATTAACTAAATTTTGATCTGAAATTTTCACTTTATAATATTTGGTTTATGTTTTTATTATTGACCTATGAATTAAGTACACTGATAGGAATAGAGATGATGATAAAATTTTAAACTGAAAAATAGTTATTGTATATTAAAACAAATAAATATTTTTCATTAGATATCGAAATAAATGATCAGCATACTTATATATTAATGTTTTTACACACGTAGGAACTGTAAACCTAACATTTTCTACACTTTTCCAAAATACATTAACAAAACAAAACATTATTTTCAATCAGTGTTATACTGAAGTAAAAGATGCAAGTAAAAATCAGCTAATAATCAACAGAAAGGAATATTTTTAGTATTAGCTGTGAATATCCGTCAGACCGACAGACAGAAAAGTTGTGATATAATTTCTCTTAAGGCTTTTTTTAATGAATACAAAATCAATAATACACTATATTTATTTGTTTAAATAATTTTGTAATGCATTTATTAATTATGATAATAAAAATTAATTAAAAAAAATGTTTCAATTATTGAAATAATTTTCATTAAGTACGAAAATATTTTTTTATTTTATTCACATCTTTTTCGATTAAATTGCATTTAAAATGATATTAAAATGCTGCATATTTAAATAATTCTGTAATGTTTTATAAATAATAATTTAAAATAATTCATGTTTGTAATAATAATAATAATTGAATAAACTTTCTATTTTTTTCATTTGTTTAAGCTATTTGGTACAGTTACAAAAATCCCAATTCCTCTTTTATTTTGAATTATTTAAATAATTCCATGAAACATTTTTAATTCCCCTTTGTGAAATAGCAGACGACACCTATGTTTGCTTACGAACGATACAGGGAATAAGATTGTAACTAAGGTTATCGGACCTAAAATTATAAATCTTTGAAAATATTATTATTTTTACAATTATTTACGTTGTCTGCTTTTAAAAAAAGTTAATTTTAGAGGCCCAAAATTTGTTTATTTTTACTTTCTTTTAATGTAAACACGCTGATATTTTCTGTAAACTTATATAATTTATATATATATTTCTTTTCGTACAAACACGATGAATTAAAGAAAAATATCAAAAAAATGTTACTTATATATTGCAGCTTTAAAATTTTTCTTTAAAAACAAATCTCGGACCTTCACAGCTCGGACTCCCTCACTATGCCGTGTTCACGGTAACAAATCGTCCCCATTACCTTCGTGTTCCTTTGATAAAAAAACAAGTTCCACTCAGACAACTTCTTACCCAGAACTGGTACTTTGTGGAACAAACTCCTGAGGGAATGCTTCTATTGCGACATAAACTTGGTCTATTTATGTTCAGGGTCAACTGATATCCATCCTACTCGTTCTCATAATATTCTTAATCCGCACCCCCTACAATTTCCCTCAGTAACTTGAGTGTCCGTTGGGCCTTCTATCGGGTGAACTATAAGTAAATAAAACAAAATAACACAAATTATATATTTATTAAAATATGCTTTTAGAAGTGTTATGCAAATTAAAGTTATGTTTTCATTGTAAACACCAACTGTATACATAAAGCTTATAGGAAACTCCTTGTTTAACGATGCGTCCTATTTAGTTTTACTGATGTAATGTGGGGACACATCGACAAAATTTAGTCTTATGCAAATTTATAAGACTAAACGTGTTTCGTTAATTTTTTGAAAATTCAAGCTGGTGATGCTTTTTCGTCGACAGTATATAATCGATTGATTGATTCGTTTTCTTATCAACCCTTTGAATGTTGTTTAAAGCCAGAAAATATTTTTAGATTGTAAGAATTTTTCTGGAGATAATAATGATTTTGTGATACAAGTCTTACTAATTAACCCAAAGCGTGGGGAGAAGAGATGGATTCATATTTTTCCCAATGGTATTTGTGCGAGAAGTGAATAAAAACGAAGCCAACTGGAATTGAAACTCGATACTTTGATTAACAATTCCGAGCTATTATCCATTACACCACCCGCACATCCAAGCTGTTATTCCCAAGCGGTCATCCATCTACGTACTGACCAGGCTTTGGTGATCGTACAGGAACCACTGTTTCAAGGTGGTATGGCCTAAACATGACGGTACGTACATTTGGAAATGTACAGATTATCATTGAAAATTGTGAATAATGTTTTTATTTCCTTTATTATTCAAATATATTACGTAAAATGGAATAACGAAGCCAGAAGGTGCATCGTAATGGCGACGGGTACTTTGCGGAGACTAAATCAAAATAATAAAAGAGGAAAAATTCTTTAGAAATGAAAAATAGTGCTGAACTGATATTTAATATCAATACGCCTGTATGACACGGCACTGAATGCTGGACGATTTTCTCACAGATGAAGAAGAGTCTTAGGACAAGAGAGATGTGATTCTGCAGAAGGATGCTGAGAATTTCATGGACGGAACATGTGGGCAACGGGGAAGTTTTAAGAAAAATGAGAACAAAAGGAAATGCTTACTTAGAACGACAGTTAAAATTTCTGAGACACATAATGTGGAAAGACGGCTTGGAGAATTTA